CATGGACACGAAGATAAATCAAAGTATATACTCTGTGGCAAAAGAGAGAACTTGTGGGACTGCCTTTCGACAGACTTCTCAATGAACTGGGTCACCTTCAGGGGCAATGCTCATAGTTTTCAGTGGTGCACACCAAGCTGGAGAGGAAAGGAGCAATCTGTGTTTCACACACCAAGTGAAGGCAATTAGTTTGGTGCAAAATTAACAAAGGTGGGATTAGCATCACCCATTATTTATGTACTGAGGGCCTGCCTTAACCTCTTTCTCCTGGGTAAAGAGAATAGCTCCTCAAACAGATCAACAGTTATCAAGTCCTGCAAATGATAACCCTAAGGCTTCTCCATGGGAAGATACACATCCGGGGACAGATGGACCAGACAGCCCTCCCTGCTCTGCATGTGTTTATCATCTGGCACACATAACACAGTGTAGGGAATCACTGGCATTGTAATCTATCTGCTTTTCTCTGGTCAGCACTGCAGCCTGCATCTAGCCCTACTGCTCTGTAATTTCTAATTGCTGGTCAGCAATTGCTGTAACTATTTTAACTCTTATTGTTAGGTCTTCTTGGGCTTGGAGCTGCAAACTTGAAGAGGAAAGCAGCTACAAAAAAAAAAAAAAAAAAAAAAAAGGAGATGAGAGTTTTCATGCAGAAAGGAAATGAATGATTGCTCTTGCACAAAAACAAAGCAAGCTATAAATCATACCTCCAAGCCAAGAGATGGAAGTTGCAAAACAAAAAAACCCTCCCAAAACAAACAAGCCAAAATCCTATGATCACCTTTGAGTACAGCCAACTCAAAGAGCACGACACAGAGCAGGTGGGGGAGTTCTTTGCATCACCAGCAACAGCTACCTCGCAAGAAGTACAAATAAGTGGCAAGTCAATTCGATGAAAGTCAGATAACAGCAAAGAAAACAAGAGTTACAGAGCCAATGTGGAGCCCCACTTAGTTCTTGAGAAGGTGCATCCATCCTTCATGCTCTTCAGGCTCAGGAAGGAATCTGCTGCATTTAATAGTGTACCCACTTTGTTGGAAGTTGTGAAGAGTCACTGTATTTTCATGCAGATTATTCTAGCCACTCTATAGCAGGTAACTTACCGCGTATATGCTATAGAAAATATCTAATAGTATATATGCATACAACAAATACCCTATAATTGCATGTAACTATGCTCTGTAGCATATTATACATCAATGTGTGGGCTACTACAGAACAAGCTGGTCAGCTGCACTTTTCACTATAACCCTCAGATCTCTAGGCTCTATACAACACCTAGAGGAGGGGGAAGATTCAGCTTCATGGACAAGTCAACCTCAGGTTTTGGTGGAGGAAGATCTGTTGATGAGAATAGTTTTTTCTCTTGAGTTGCTGGCTATATATAGCCAGGCTTGTAGGAGGCTTTTGGTTACTGTTGCTGACCACAAGCTTGCACCTACCTCACAGACTCAATGAACTCTCAGTGCAAAACAAGAGGGAAAAAAAATTGCTACTTATCTTGCAAAAACTTTGATATTAACTATAAAAGAAAATGAAATAAGTGGGGAGGAAACTGTGACAAAGAAACATTCTCTGACAGTTTGATTATCATTTTGTGACTATGGTGTTCAGTTTGAGTAGACATGAAGTTTCATACAAAAAGAGGCTGTATTTTGTTATATCATGAGGCAGTGCAAGAGGTAGTGGCTTTGACTTTTACTTCAGACGGGTTCATCTGAAATGAGAAACTTTGTGAAAGTCTGATGTAAGAAGGGGTGTCAGTGTATCAACCACTGAATAGCTGAGAAAGTATCTCTCATACATCTGCAGAAAAAAAAAATAGTTTTCATAAAATCCTGCCATGCCAAACTCGTTACCTTCACTTCTTTCTCTTCTTTTCCTCTTTCTTTCCCTCATGATTTCCTCTGACTGTTATGCTTCACTGATAGTGAATAACCCCTTGGCTCTCTTGCATTCACTATTCCCTTCCGCAGAGCTACGTGTGGTGTCATCCTTTGCCAACAAGGACATCGCAGTCTGACCTTTTATGCTTATTACTTCAGTTGAAGTTTTTACTAATTTGAATAGAAGACTTTTTTACTTTGCAGTTTACTGTTCATTTATATAAAATGCTTAGTTTTGGGTAGAAGATGTTTAATGAAATCTGCATTGCCTTCAGTACAGATGGAGAAGTCTATAATGTCTTCTATGAGGGTTTCCCATATGTGTCTCTCATGGAGTCTGTAATTGCACCTGAAACTATATGGTTGTGATATCCCTCAGTGACACAGAGTTAAAACTAAATATAGATACTTATAATGATGCAGTTTATCCACCAAGCATTGTCCAAGCAAATCTGTCTCCATCCACTGGCTTCTCCTTCTCGGCAGTGATCCCTGGGAGGAAATTCTGGGTGACACAGCAGTGCTCTTGTGCTTTAACGTGGAAGTGAGAGGCAGCTGAAATATGTTGTCTCTCTGCCCATAGGTTCACAGCAATTCTTCTTCCACAGATGGATTGTTATATAATGGCTTTACTACAGAGTACTGTATGATTACTATTCTTGAGACACTAAAAAAAAAATCAGATAATACTGCTTAGTCCTAAGCGGTTATCAGGCTTTGCTTCAATATGCTGGAAATCCTTTACATAGCAGAAGCCTAGGACACATGTAAATATAATTTAGATTGTATCTGACATCAAAAATGGTACAAGAAATCTGCTCATGAGGGGAGTGAGTCACAGGAGAATTGAAAGCAAAGCTGCAAACTTCTTGGAAGGAAATTATTCTCCCACTCTCAAAACTAAGCAAGGAAAGACCCCAGGAAGAAGTAGACTGACCTTGGCTACATGACACATGCTATCAGAAGGTCTTCTAGAGGTCCAGAAGGAAGGGAAGGATGCAGGGAGGATAACCTTCAGTACAGCCATCACGTAAGGCTCTAAGGATCTGCATCCTTTCAAACATCTTGTTGTGAATATTGTACATATATTTCAGCAGCGTGGCACACACAGAAAGGATGTGAAAAGAGAGGAGATACTTCTGTGTTTTGTCTCTTCTTTACAGAGGCTAAAATTCACATCGTCCTGCAAGAACAGTGGTTGCAGAAAGCTGATGAGAGTCTGTCATGGTCATAATAATGAAGCAACTAGAAAAGAGTCTCTTCATGTGAGTCCTAATTCAATCACCAGTGCAGTGTCTCTAATGTGGAGATGAATGTGACCCTGAACTCTGCTACTATCCCTTACTTGTTAAGTGTCAGGGTTGTGCTTGGAGCTGCACAAACTGGAAAAAATAAAATTAATCCTTGTTCTGGTGCTGCTATGTTCACAAGATTGCTTTGCCGTACTGCAGGGACTTGTCCTAAAAAGTTTACTGTCTTAGCCTGTATGTGAGAAAAACTCATTTACCCTCCAGCATCTGCATGAAGGCTGCCTGCAGAACCTGCAGTAAGACCACCAGACAGTTTCAGTTATCACCCTGAGTTCTCAACCTCTCTAAGTTTCAAAACTTTCACTTTTTGAGTCAAAATTGTTCATCTGTGCTTTTTGGACAGAAATGAGTGATTTTTAGTGAGTTTTATCTCTTCAGTAGTTATTGAGTTATGGGGCAGTAGAAAAAAAAATCTGTTTTTTCTTTTTTAAGTCTAAACAACTGCAAAAAGTAGCTGAGCTCTAAGAAATAAAAGCTGGCAAGGCCCCAGTTTAGCTTAGGACTGACTCTTCTGCCAGTCCTTGCTCAGGAGAATAATTTACCAGGGACAGCAAGTTGGGTAAGTGCTCACATCCCCTGCAGGTCAGTGCTAAAGTTATAGTTAAGTATGTTCTGAAGTGGTGTGTGCAATGGGGATGGCTTACCAAATTGTGACCTAGCTATTTTTCTTGTCTGGGAAATAAAATATCTAAGCAGGAACAGAAGAGAAGCATTTCAGAAGCAGGTTCCCAGAACACGGAAGAGAGAAGCTAAGCCTGCAAAGGCTAAAGGCACCTTGCACTGAAAGCAGGGCTACTGCCCACAAGTTACTGCTGCAGTTCAGGAAGTCACTGAGCCACAGAATTTGGAAGGTAATGAAAGGATGGTCACTTCGTTGTGGGGGGTGTCCTGGGACCACACTGCCCTCACAGCAGTCTTGGAGAACCACACTGGAAAAGACAAAGAATATCACTGGATATTTTTCAGTCTTTGGATCCTCCCAGGGAATCATTGATTTGCTCTGCAAAAGCATCTTTACCCTGCGACCCTGCCACTGCCCAGCAACCAGTTTAACTGCATCAGCTCTGAGTTACAGAGAGATAACAAAGTCTTCCTAAATTACAAATGCAAATCTAACACTTCAGTTGATATAATGTCTCATCTCTATTTCTTTTTATTATACAGTAATGATGAACAAGAATGCAGAACTAATATCTATCTCTTATTTATATTAAAAAATAGACGACATTAATGTATTATCTAGAAACTCTGTGTTACATAATTCCAGTTTTCCATTTGATTTTTTGACAGAAAAGAAATCTTGAAGAGCTTAGAGATTTGTAGGTGCTCTATTGTTTTCCCAGGCTAGCCATATGTTTCACCTTGCTTCATTCTTGAATGGGGATTTGAACTTATTTTTGTCCACCTAACATGAATTTCAAAATAATGGTGGTTCCTCTCAGTCTGTAACATGCTACTGGATGATCTGCTTTATTTGGAAACCACAGGATGTATTTAACAAGCTAAACATGGTATCTGAGGTGAACTTGTTAGCTTGTGTACTGTGTTCCATACTGAGCTCATAGCAGGAGGTGACATTGTAAAGGCCGCAGGACCCAAAAGCTCTGTGAGCAAAGGTTTCCTGTAAAACGGAGACTCATTAACTCAAGGTTCAGAGTACAGAGCAGATGTATGAATGGAAACCTCTGATTAGGGATTGCAAAAAAGAGGTTAATGTTTAGCCAACTTATCTGCTGACAAAACATTGCCAAAGATCTTCCTTAGGTTCTAATTTCTAAACGTTACGCAGCACAGGTTGGATATCACAGGGCCTATTTCAAGTGGGCCTTTTCAAGACAAGAAAGAGTTTTACAGCTACACTGCCAGGTATATTTTCTTTAGCTTTAGTTTGTCTGTTTTTCAGTTCTATCTGTTTTCTCTGTTCAATAATGTATTGAAATATCTCTTCTTTAAACATTGGGGAGATGTAAAAGGGGTTAAGACCCATTTCAACCTTGTGTGTGCAGCTTAAAATTGGTTGATAAATAGTTTTGAGCAAACAAATTAAAATCCTGCTTAAGACTAAGTTCAGAGATGAGAGCGCACGCTGCTGCTGTTGGCCTTATCAGCCTTGCATACAAAACATCATCTTTGCTTTTCATGTTTGAAGCAACAACAGCTCATCTCTGCAGCACCCAAACTCCGAATGCTCAAGCTCCAGGCATTCCCAATTCATCTTCAAGACAGTGGGAGGACTGGAAAAGGCCAGAATGATGCTGAAGTGTCAGACTGCCATCTCTCCTGGCCTGCAGCTTGAGTGATGGCGTATGTGTGTTGTGCACCTGAGGAGTGTTGTGGGCACCTGCCACAAGAGCAGGGTCTGGCAAGGCGACCCCATTGCCAAGTCAGGCTCTGGCCAGAGGTGTAACAGAGAGTGCTCCCTCACCAGCATTCCTCATTGAAGCTTTTTCCAGGGATTTCTTCATGTCAGGAGCTGATCTGGGCCGGAGACAGGGATGTAGGGCCAAACTCTTTCCCATTCTGACTGTTAAGTCACAGCACTAAACCTAAGCATCAGAAACACTGCATCAAACCATTTTGCTTCTATGAGGTTTTTACTGACTCTGTAGTTACTACTGGTTTTATTTTACTGTCATCCCCTTTGCTTATCTCACTGTGCCGTTTCACAGCCTTTCGGGATTCCTGCAGAAAATGGGGCTGGCTTGGAAATCCATTCATGCTATTTCACAAAAACCTCTTCTTGAAGCTAGATCCACTGACAGGGTGGAAAAAGAAAGAAAACTGTTAACTCTAGGGTGGAAAAAGAATGAAAATGTTTAACTGTCCTGTTCTGTGTGCATGGGAAGTGGAAATACTATTTTACCTGACGTGGAAGTAGCCTGAATCCATCTCTGTTCATTTAATCAAAACTACATCAGCATTAAGAAATGTCAATGAATCAGTTCCCATATTAAACTGCTTCTACTGGTGTCACCTCTAAAGAATTTCAGGGCAGAAGTCATCCCTGGTAACTGAGTGTTTGGGGGACAGAAGATTTTTTAGGATAGTGGTGATACTTTCTGAGATATGCTTTGAGTGTGGTTCTTCATCATGTTGAAAAACCTGGAGCTGCAAGAAGACCAGCAAGTCCTCAGGCCCCTACCCTGCTTGGTGCTCCAGTCTCTGCATTCCTAAGAATGTCTTTAAGCAGATTTTTTTTTCCCCACCTTATCTGCCAGTTGATTTTTGTGCGCTTGCTTCATGGCTGTGAGAAGCACAAGGTGATTCTGCTCCTGTTTCTGCAGCGTTGTCCACAGGTGACCTGCCAGCAGTGGCGTACCGGCGTGCTGCTGTGAGCGTGAATACTCTGTCATGCTGGCCAGTGCCCTCCTGTCGCTTCCTGGTGCCTTCCCATCTGCCTGTACTCTCCTGTTTCTGTTACGCTGTAGCTCCTCGGAGCAGGAACTGTCTTTGCATGCTGTGGTTGTCCCCTGCTTGTCTTTGCATGCTGTGGTTGCCCCTGCTTGGCATCACGCCTCCCAGTGTGCAGTAAAGACTGCCAGCTATGGCAATACCACGAACCCACTGATGCTGTTGCTACTGCTGGGGCAACAAAAGCAGCAACTTAGGGACCTCAGCTAGATTGAATGGCCTGGCCCACTGTGGCCTGGCCTTAATAAATATATAATGAGAGCGAAAAATAAGACATGATTCTGTGGAATTAATATGCTCATCTGCCTCAGGAACAAGTGTATCTTGAACCCTGGAAAGAGTTTCTAGATGCCATGGCAATATAAAGACAAAATAGTGGTTACTATACTCAAAAGCACTTTTCAAGAGGAAGATACCTTTTTCCCTTCTTACAATCTACTTCAGATGTAAATGACTTTAACAAACAAGAGAGAGCAGTGAGAGGAAGGCAGCACATTAAGGTGGATGGCATTTGATCACAGCTGAATTGCATACACCTGTGACTGGATGGTGTGAGACATCTTTTTGGTACCAGGTATTTTATTTGCTGGAGATATATAAACCCTGTGGCATTAAAGATACCAGCAAAGAGAATATATGTCAAGAGTTGTCAAACTTAACACATTTTTGAGGAAAATTGCTTTTTCTCATTGTATAAGACACAATATCTTGCTTTTCTAGAGTAAGCATAAGCCCACCACAGACTTACCTACATTCACTAGTTTGGTGCTGTAAGCAAGATAAAAAGTAGTGATTTTGCCCTCTTTTTCTGCTTTAGAGACAGACTATTAAGAAATTGAATGGAATTGATTCCATTTCAAGAAAGTTAATGTGAGGAATACCAAAGAAAATCAAGCAAGCAGATACATAAAGAGATGAGACATAGTAGATCCCATTAAAATTCAAAAAATGCTCTTAAAAGTAGTTTAGAGCTGAACAGTTTCTGTACAACTCTTACCTTCAAAGTTAACATAGTCATAACCTGAGGAAAATGAATCATAGTCTAGCCACACCCATTGCTGCCTTTATGTAGGCTGGCACAATTCTGTAAGTAAGTGATGTGCTTTACTGTGTCCTAAGGAAACATGGGGCACAAAAATTTGTGGTTGAAATTAAAGTCAAGGTCCATGCTCCCTGAATAGCATGATTTGACTTTCAAAAGTGCAGCGTCTCATCTGGACATACTGGATTAACCAGCACTGGAAAATGATTCCAGTACCCTTTAGCATTTCCTGTTCTGTAGGGTGTAAAACCTGAACTTCTGCTTCTCATTTACAAATATAGGACCTGACACACCATTATGTTTCATCCTAGAGGACATCATTCTTTAAGATGAAGCTTTGTCCAAACTTAACGTCTATGACAATAGATCCACTTGAAGAACATCTTAACACGTGGAAAGGCATTTTTACATCAATTAAACATCTCATTTAAGTGTTTTCTTGAGTTAAAAAAATTAACTATGTACTATATGATGCCTGGGAGGTACTAGAGGAACAGTTAGAAGAACAGAGCCTCACTATTCATAGGGACACTGAAAAGACTTGGCCCCAAGGAACGAAGATTTAATGCAAACAGAAAGCCAGAGAGAGCCTAAGCAGAGTGGGTAGCAGTGCTGGGGTGAAATATCGAAGGATGTTTTGTTTCAAAGTCTCTGAAAAAAAAAGAGAGAAAAAAGGGAAAACATCTTCAAAAATGAAATAAAGTATTTTGAACAACATGATCCAAAACTGTGAGAAGGGGATAGAGTTGGCTGGCTTGGCTTCCAGTACTTAACTTTTTGCCTGGATTTGAGATACAGAAAAATTGTGAAAGCTTAAAGATTCCCATTGATTGAGAAAAAAAATAATAAACTGCTCCTGTGTAGTTAATATTTCTGTGTCATGAACTGAGATCAATACCACTTGTCTGTGATGCCAGGCAATTCTGGCATGTTAACCCTCAAACCCTTACAGGCCTCTGCTCCTTCTGGTCACAGTCTTTGCCCCAACTTTTCCTAGGGAGATAAGGCAGGACTGGCAGCAGACCTCTGCTATGATAGCACACGAACTAGACTGGACTCGTGTCCAGAGGCACTGAGGAAATTCATGAGGTTGCTATTAATGCCATTTATACATCCCATTGAACATAACTTTCCATTCAGCAAGTAAAGTTTTATAACTATTATTACGGGGAACTGAATCTAAATCTAAGCAATACCACTGGTATAATAATCTGATAGAATGAAAAATCTAGAGTGTTTTATTTTTGTTGTCCTCATCAAGGACTTTGCTTTAAATTAATGTAGCTACAGACTGTGAACCTTGTGCCATTTCAAGGATTTCCTCTACTGACAAGGTTGTTTTACAACTCACTGTGTGGAAGAATCCAGCAGAAGCTTAAGGCAGCTGTCTGTGCTCAGTGCATAAAACAAGAGCTTGCAAAGCAGGAACTACTGAAAGTTTATAGGGGCTCAAGGGGAAACTGGACAAGCGCCTGGAAAAAAAAATAGATTGAGGTACATCTGATTCAGGCTATCCTCTGAGTTGAATTAATCCCAACTGGGAGGATATTTGGGGAAATATCATATAGGCCTGCCCTGTTCTTGCTCTTCCCGGACATTCCTTATGGACACTCTTCCCATTGATCTTCTCCAGCCTATGCCTTGCAAAATGAATGTTTTGTTTCCTGTCTTACTTCCCCTATGATGCCAACCCAAGAAGGGGAAGGAAGGCAAAAGAAAGAAACTAGGGAGAAAGTTAGGTGATTTCAGATAAATAAGAAGGGAAATGGTGAGGGTCACAGGACTAAAGATTTAGAGTCAGATGGACAAATGGAGACCCTGAGCAGAGGACTCCAGCAATAGTCACTGCTCTCTGAGGGCCTCCAGTAACCTCTTGGAGCTGCTTCATAGTGCTCTTCATGGAGATGCAGCAGGACAAGGAATCAGGAAGAGGGCCCTGGTGATGAGCTAGCCCAGGTGAAGCTTCATCCCCACGTATTGGAGGCTTTCATACGTACAGCCCTCAGAAATTCTTAACTCAGCTGTCCCTGTTGTGTGTAGGTCTTTGTTATTCTTTGTATGGGCCCCACTCACATCACTGTGTCCAGTACTGAAACTGGTAGCATCAAGTTTCATAATCATTCAAAAAGAGTTGTCCAGCTGTTTGGGGGGATTTTTGAATTTTTGAATTTTTTTTTGTTCTTTAATTGAGCTTTAGCAACTAGAACTTCGTTTGGCAGCTTGTGAACTGATCAGGATCCTACAGAAGACATGCTTCTTCATCTAAAAATGTCAATTTGCTTTGAAAAATAACCTTTTCATGTTATAGAAGCATCCTTGCCAGATTTTTTTTCTAATTCCAGAATAATCCAGTCAAATCATCTCAGCTCAGAATGTATTTCTGATAAGTATATTTTTCTGTAATATGGAAGATGCAGGCAAAATTCTTTCTCATCATTGGATAAAGAAAGTGAAACCTGGATCTACCACAGTTGAAAATAGGAGCCCCATCTTTCAAATATGAATGTTCTCTCTCACACATGTGTTCTTCTCACATGTTTTTCACAATAAATGTGAAATGTCTTTGGCAAATTTTGCCACTGATGGAGCAAATTGTGGAAATGACAAAAATTTCTATTGAAGAGGAAAAAAACATCCGTAGCCCACTTCTGTAGGTAGTGATCTGGTACAACTGAATTCCTAGACATAGGTAATCTGCATAAAGCATAGGGTAATCTGGATTTGCCAGGCTGTGAAATTACACAGTGAGGTGCGGGCTAACTGAATCTTCCTTGTGGGTTGGTTCCTGGGTTGGTCGGCATTGTTCTGTTGCCCATGTTTTGCTCCCTAGAAGTTTGCCTAGCAATTTTTATTAGATACACACTGGATGACAGCAATGAAAAATTCCACTCTTCAATGCTCCCAGGTCTGTTGGGAAAGTGGTTTGATTTAATTGCCTTTGAATCTTCCCACACATATCAGAGCTGACCAAAGCCTCATGGCTAGCTGGCCATGGCCTCTCTGCTTTCCCAACTTTTATTCTAGATTGGTTTGAAAGAGTCCTTAAGGGGGAAAAAAATCTATAACCTGAGTACTCCAATATAATTGTTTTCAGCTGTGATGTTATCATAGTCCACTCCATCTATCTCACTACCTCCTCAGCACGGTCTATACCTTGTCCTGAATGTTCACCTTCCCAATGGAATGACTGACACAAGTACTTGAAATTTATTCTGTATAGGTTGTTCTTAGGCTCCTTCTAACTTCTGTTTTGAAATTGCCTCAGCTACCTTGAATGATGTTTTCTGTGTTGCCTGTATTTCTTTTAAGTTGATCTCGTATTTTTCATCAGCTGCCATGCTTCATGTCTGAAGGTTCCTTTGGAAAAGGAGCCAGTTAGGTACATCTTCGTCCCTTGAAGGTATAAGGAAATGGTAGCTTTGCAATATCAGTAAGATGCTGAAAGCTTTCAGAGGCTGCTACTAACAACTTTTAGAAAAGCTACCCACTTATTCATGGTCACTGTCTTCTTGAAATTTTCCCACCCTTGCACATGCTGGGTGTACTTTTCACGTTCTTTTCATGTGTACACAGTCCTGCAAGCCACTATTTCAATTTGAGCTTTCAATACCAAAGCTACTTCCTATCACTTCAGCAGCCTCTCTGATATCTTTATTCCCACAACCCAGTATTTTGGGATGGGTAGGCAGTCTTGGAGGTATGTGATAGCTCTGTCATGTCAAGGTAACCGTATACCTGCTGTCTGTTTATGTAACAGTAATTACGGGGGTTTACTACACTTAAAGGTTCTCGAGGTGAGAAAAAAAGTAACATTTGCAAAGGCTAATGGTCTCTAAACTGACTGAATCCATTATTTTATTACTTCTGCCTTCCAAAAGTCAGGTGACAGACCTAGAGCGGTCAGTGCACTTGTGTACGTAATACCACACTAAGGTACAGTTCTGCTTTCCTGGACGTTCCCAGCACACAGTTAAGATGTTTGCTGTCATTCACAGCAGCCTTCACCACGATACTGCTGTATCTGTGTCACCAGAACATCATCCACTGTGATGTGACTCCTTAAGAACCTTGTTTGTACATCTTTCTGGTAACACTGAAACACTGCCCTCAGTTCTTACCCCAAATATCATTCTTTGCCATTTCTATCAACCTGATGACATCCCAAATATGGTGAAGTAGCTCCAATGACATTTATTAATATTCCCAGTTGGCACTAGTCACCAGCATGTTTTGCTAATGTGTAGCCAGTTTATATCTCTTCATTCGAGAGCCTGTGATGCTGAACTCTTTTTAGTGCTTAGTTTGAAGTGAGCAGGCCTCTGTCAAATAGTTTGCCAGGTTTCTCAGCAACCTCGTGCTGTTCTCCCAGCTCCTGATTTCTGTGGCAATGCTATCTACTTTCCCACTCCCCTTGCAGCTCCCATTGCTAGGTTTAGCTTCTGTAATAGAATTGTTTTTCTGGGAGGCCAGTAACAGTAATGGACAAACTGTTTTATCTGTTATCACATGTAACAAGGCTGGAGGACATCCCAGTCCATCAAAAAAATGACATCATGGTAATTTACTAGCATCTTGCTGCCTAGAAGATTTAGTTCCTCCTCACACACTTTCAGTTTGCTGTTTGCCTAAGAGAAGCATTTCCTTTGACTTTAAAGCTTGTTACAGTCCTACTCTTTTGCAAAAGCAGTGGCTTTTGTCCTCATCATACTACCTGAAATTCCAGCCTGTCTTATTCCCTTCACTATTCTGTGGGAGGCTGCATTCTTTCTCTAGTCTTGTGAGCATCATATGATTTTAACTTGGCTTTGCTTTGCTGTAATTTCACTTTCTTTTCTTGCAAAAGGCTTAAGGTGCCTTTAAGGTAGCTCTGTGCCATAACTCACTGAGCCCTGTTCCAGTGTCTCTGGCTTTTGGCTTCTGTTTCATTTGTGGTTTCTGTCCTTTTCTTGCATCTCGTTCTCCAAGGAGCTTTACAGACATCATGTGTTCACTTGTGTGCTTTGTGGTTGGTGGTTTCCTTTGTTGTTTTGCACTGCACCAAGTTCATATATGTACAAAAACTCACCCCTGGAACGCCTGCTCGCTTCTGCAGCTTGGTTCCTTTGTTTCCCTTGTGTGTAAGCATTTTTGCCACCCTATTCAGAGGCTTTATTTGTAGCGTGTCTCCTCTTTATTTTGGGCATATTTATGCCACCCCATTTTCTGGCATAGCTTCATGCTATTCTTCTGCGCCTTGGCAAACAGCCCCTTTGCCTATCCCTCCTTCACTCCATTGCAATGGAAGTTTGTCCATTAGCCTTGCTGCAGGCTATAGCTCTCAGTGGAGTTAGAGGGTCTTTTGAGTCATTTTCCTTTGAATGTCATCACCTTTTATCATGATTAAGAATTTAACCCAAACTGCTTCACCTTTTAAGAGCTGATCCTTTTGCATGCCTTGTCATTTGATCAGTCTCTTGCTTTCTCTCACTGTGAGTACTCCTGCTGAGAAGACAGATGATTATTTCATGTCTCTGGGGAGTACAATATGCTTTTTCTAGGATTCTGCATGGAGCCACCCAGTCTGCCACTGTTGGATGCTGCTGAAGCAGGTGATGGCTTTTCCCGTCACACTCTTATGCTGTTCTTATTTTGCTTTTGCTTTTCAGTCAGCCCCTTGCAATTTCCTAGTTGCCCCAGCACAATCAAAAGAAGAGAGTTTTAGCAGAAGAAATGGTAAGTTTGTCCCCTTTCAAGAGCTACCTGGGATTAGGAAATTAGTCAGTATTGCAAAAACTCCTTTCTTGAGGAGGGTGATTTGGACTGCTGGAGAAACTTTGGAGTTTTCCTAGTTTTTTCTCAGTCCCTGAATTGTATACTCTGTTGGAAAATGGTCTGCCATTGTCAGGTGTATTTTCTTGGAAAATGGTCTAAAGACCACAACCAACTTCTCCCTGAAGTGGACTAAGTGCCAAACTTCTGTAACTTTACTAAGAGAGTGAATAATGATTCCACTATCTTAAGATTTTCTCAAAATCTAGGGAGAAAATTACAGGTGTTATTCCAAGCACTACAATATGTTCCAATCTTACCATGACTGGGCAGTTATAAGCTGTCAATAATTGAGCAGTTCCTCTCTTCCATGCAAAGATTTTGCTCCTCTGCCTACAGTATATCCCATGTATAAACCATTTGTATAGTCTGGATTATGAATGAGGGAGACAACATTACATGGAAGATTTACAGGCAGTATTCTCCTTCAAGTGTTATGCATTGTGCTTAGAAATATGCTAAGCATAACAATAAAACAGCCTGAAGAGTTTTTACCTGATAGGGAGGGAAACGAAAAGAAAGGCCCTCCATAAGGAATGCTTCAAACTTTGTAGAAATTTTTCCATTTCAAGGGCAAAGATATGCTGTACGGAAATTCTTTTCCAAATCTCTGTGATAAATTATGTGTGATTAGAGTGATGTAGTCACATTCAAAATGTAACGCAGGGAATTCCTCCTACATTTCAGCTGGGTAACAAAATGTTAGGATTACCAGAATGCCCTGTTTGGATACTGTGATTTACCTAAAATAGCGAGGATGAATCCGTATTCAACATTATGTAATTCCTAGTGCCTAAACCACGAACTGCTGTAGGGTAGATTTGCTGCACTGAAGGCAGCTGATTTAGGGATCCCAAAACATGTTTTCCTTTCTGAGCTGAACTCTTGAGCTTCTCCTCACAACCCCCCAGTCTCTCAGCTAAATATGACCGCAATCTCTGTGATCTTGCTGGTTGCTGGTGAATCAGCCCCATTGGGCAGGCTTCCTACACGCCGCCTAAGACTGGCGAGCAGATAAGCACGGCTGTGGGAGACTGCAGAGCACGGCCGCCTACTCCAGCCAAAAGGTTTTGTGCTTTGGCTTGTGTTTGGTTTCAGCTAGTGTTATTTTGATTATTTATGTCATGACATGGGCCCCACAACTGCTCAGAAAGGAGAAGAAAAGGAGAGATGGGGCGACTGCTCCCCACCGACCTCCAATTCCCATCAGAGCAAGGAATTAAGCAGTGGAATGGCCCTCTGCCTTCAGAGACTATTTCCCTCACACCAGAGGCTCTCTACCCTCTTCCATAACAACGAGAAGAACTGCTGGGGCATGCAAAGCATGCGTGCAGCTTTATGCCTGTGAAATTTGCTCTCAGCGGTTATAGTCTGGATTACAGATGCAGCAAATTCTAATAATGTTTCTACAGCTTTCAGATATTGATCCTTCAATCTATCCTGTAAAGAATATAACAATTACTGTAAAGAATATTGGAGATTACAGTGAAACCTCAGGAGCCTTCCAGCTACAGCTGCAGACTAGGAGACAGGCTTATCTTCTGAGTCATAACCCAAACAAGCTCCTGAATGTGCATTGTACATGGGAATAGATGAGAATGCTCCGGAGGGAACAGAGCCAGGAAGAACAGTACTGAAGGTAGATAAGGTCAGACCAATTCTGGTAATAAAGGCTAATTAGTAAATCAGCAATGGAGTGTTTCAATAATGTAGGCTGCATTGCATCAGAAAAAGGAAAGACAGAGTGTATCACATGTCTGAGGGGATGGAAAAACCCCAAAGGGATGAAGTCAGCACGAATGAAGAACTACCATTACTTAACTGTTGAAGGGCTGGGGATGTGACCCATCTGCGACATTTACATTTTTATTTATTCAGCTTCTTTCTTTCTTTATTTATTTATAGTGTGGAGATCAAAAAAACTCAGTGTGGAATTTACCTGGAAAGGGAAGGACCTCATGATGCTCACTATGAGAAGGAAAGAGCTAGCATCAAACACAGGTTTAGATGGAAAGTTAAAGGAAAAGCTATCAGTTTGTTTCTAAAAGAGATCTTTGAGATAAACTGGAAAGGTCATTTATGTTTTCTAAAAATGTAAATACAGTATGTTCTGTTGCAATAAAGACAGGAAATATTAATGTTATTTTCTGAAAAAGGATAAGCTACTGGAGTAAGCCATGCCATTAGTACTGATCAGATGTGGTATCAAATCTTTCTGAGATTAAAAAAAGTTCTATAAGAGCATTTCCAATAAGAGTAAATAAAGGAATAATTAACAAGCATATATGTGTCATTTATTTTTGACCTTGCATGCTAGCAGGCCTGTTTTTGCACAGTGTGAATGAGTGGGAGTGAGAAGAGCAAGATTTCCTCTGTTTTATAATACAGTGGTGTTTTTATGAAGCCCCTAAATGTGAGTCCTCCTCTGGGGCTTTGTGAGGCAGATGTTGAGACCCAGGGCTATAAAATATGAATAAAATATAATATTTAGGCTTCTGATAAGCGGTGGCTCTTCTGCACATATGCAGCTGTGCAGAGAAACAGGGAGGGAGCTGATTTCATGGTGATCTCCCCTGAGCCTGTGCAGCTCTGCAGAAGCGGCAGTGATGCACGGCAGCACACGGAGAGCCTGGGAACCCTGGGGTCCCATCACCAGGTCAAGGATGGCTCCTGTGGCCCTCACCAAGCTTGTCACCAGCATGGGAGCAACAGGCTCTGCTATCGGATTGGGATCCCAGGACATCCCTTCTCCTAGGAATTTCTTTGTCTTTTGCATTGGAAATGCATGCTAGAAGGCATTGCAGGCTAGAAGACCTGATACACTACGAAGAGCAGGCTGAGCAAAGAACTAACGAGACAGTGATTATGAAGGGCAAAAAAAGCCCCTATCAAAGCCTATCAATATGAACAGGTGGGAGTGAAAAGATTTCAGGGTGGCTTATTCAAAGCTCTTTGTCTTTCGTTTGCTTTTATTAACACCTAGGTAACATCAATTATTAATTAATAGGCAAAATAAGAAAGCTTTTGCTAAAAGGTCCACTTTCCACTTTTTAAAATGTCAACTTTCATTCCTTTTCATTCAAACCACTAAATATTTCTCAAGTCTTCCCTTGTGCCTCAACTAGAAGACCAAAATGCCATTTCCAGTATTCTTCATGTGGCAAAGGTGCAGAATCTTATCCCGCCCCTCCTCCCCCTCCACTTGCAAGAAACAGTGCTATAAAACAGGGCCCTTCCCAACAGATTTATTTGGAAAGTCACACCAATATAAACCAAACAAATGCAATTTACAGCAGTTTCGGCATGCATTTTTTCTTATAAAATGGGAACTGACTATGCCCATTTTGCCACGTTTAATAGAGAAACAGATTTAGAGGGATTATTCTACAATATTGATCTGATACTGATCTCATATAATTCATATAATTGGTGGACAGGCTCCTTTTTGTTTTTATTAAAGGATTTTGAGGATAATTTATGGCATATTGACTTATGAACCCTCTCTTGTGTCTATCTGTTTAAACTTCTCTTTGAAACAACTAGTTTGGAGAAAGAGAGTCATTCCTGTCTTCCAAGTTGCAACTCAAGATGTTGAGTCCTCCTTTCAGAGAGCCTGGTGCCCACCACATATGTCTGATATATCTGGGCAGCAACAGACTGGAGACTTTCAAGGCTGATGAATGCAGAAGGCAGGGCTCTGGGGTGCTATGGCTTGGAAAGGGCAATTTCTCAGGATGCTGCCAGAGATGCTATTGTGACCAGGCTCTTTTCTTCCTTTCCACACATTCTTTCTTTCTTTTTCTTTTCTTTTTTTTTTTTTTTTTTTTTTAATTTGGTAGGCTCAGAATATGTGTGTGACAATAAGCTGCAAAGTGAGGTAGGTAGGAGGATGTAAATTCTGTGAATTCCAGTAGGAGGACATAAATTTTGTGAACTCCAGCAAGACTTAGTCATGAGTTTCTCCCTCTACAGCACTATCATTTGGATGTCTACCCACGAGCAGGGGAAAAAAAAAAAAAGAAAAAAGAACAGACTCTGAAGAACTTACCCTGTCAGATGAGAAGCAGTGAATAACAGTGGTGCTTAAGCTAAGTGCTGAGTTTTGGTGCTTACAGAGACATTTAGGCTATTGCTTTTGTGAAATGTGCAAGGTATCTGGGGCCTCGGATCATCTGATGAAGGATGACTCATGCCCACACTCTTCATGATTAGCCTCCCTGGAGCAGACCAGCAAAACGTAAAACGAATCTTGTATTGTCCTAATTCTACAACCTCTTCACACTAATTCACCAACATGCTCCAGGTGTAGCTTGACACGAACATGTCATTCACCATCCTCTGTGCTGAGCTCCACCCAATACCACAACGGAGGACTCCAAAAAGACACCCCACTTTGCTTATTATTCATTTTGGAGGCTGCCCCCCACTCCTGTTCCTGCTCCACTTACACTTGCACTCTCTGCTTCTCAACATATGACAGCAGAAGTCCTTCACTGGGGTGAAGTCAGCCTCTGGGGCCTGGCTGGGATGGGGACAAAGAAGGCTTTGATAAGAGGTGGCACCAAGCATGTAGCAAGCCTGGCCTAGGTCTTATTTTAGCTCAACACACCTCACTTACTTTCTAACAACCTGGCTGATGTTTGCAACCCATGACAGTCCTTCCCTCATATCAGAGAATCAGAGAATCATAGAATGCATAAGGTTGAGAGGGACCTCTAGAGATCATCTAGTCCAGGCCCCCTGTACCCACAGGGTCACCTAGAGCACGTGGCACAGGGCTGCGTCCAAGCGGGTTTGGAAGATCTCCAGAGAAGGAGACTCCACAACCTCTCTGGGCAGCCTGTTCCAGTGCTCTGGCACCCTCACTGTTAAGAATGTTTTCCTTAGATTCCTGTGGAGCTTTTGGTGCCTCAGCTTGTGGCCGTTTCCTCTAGTCCTATCGCTGGCCACCACTGAAAAGGGGTCAGTCCCCTCCTCCTCACTGCCTCCCTTGAGGTATTTATAGACACTGAACAGGCCCAGCTCCCTCAGCCTTTGCTCATAGGGCAGATGTTCCAGGCCCCTGATCATCCTCGTAGCCCTGCGCTGGACTCTCTCCAGCAGCTCCACATCCCTGACCATCCATGAGCCTGTGTCATTGAATAGGAGACAAGCACCTATCATTACCCAAGCACATGTGTAGCTGTGCTCACTGCTCTAGCAACAATCATCCTCTGAGTCTGACTCACCCAAGGTTAGCTCCTTCCTGCTTCCAGAAGCTTGGTGTCCTTCTGGAGCACCTTCTCCTGAGGAATTGTAGCATATAAGGATCCAACAGCGAGGTGGTCCTTTCTCCAGGAGTTAAAGCGATAAAGGTGGCAGCTGGGCTCCCAAGCTGGAGACCCAGTCCCAGCACCAGACCAGAGCGACCTAAATACAGTCGCTATTGGAAGGGGACACTGGAATACAGTCGTTGGAAGGAGAAGTCCAGTAAAAGTCTTGTCACCAAAGACCTGATGCTATTGGCATAGCGTGCACATTTATGTGGGGTTGCACCAGGCCTTCTAGTGGCATCTCTAGGCTTCACAAAGGCTGGCTGCAGTTCTTGAAATGCAAGCTGGCATTGCTCAGCACACCAGCTATAGCTGTCTGTGCCAAAGTGCCAAGGCACCTGCCAGAAGCTGCCTGATCCCTACAGCTTTGGTCTCCTCAGGGTCCCAGCTTGCTCCTCTGTGTCTCTACAATGTGCCAGTTGTTTTCAGTTTCCCAGATGGGGATAAAGAATATACAGCTAGAGAGTGAGTCTTGACAACCCGCAAGCACAGCATTTTCCTATCAGAAAGCAGTGATGTGTCATGCTTGTATGGGATGTAGGTGAGCACATGGCTTAGGGAGGTAATGCCAAAAAACTGGTGGACTGAGAGATGTGCCCTTGCACAGCCAACATCCTTACAAGTTTCATGGAGAATGTCCTGGAACCAAAGCGGCCACATCTGGGTTTCTTCTTGGGAGGAAATAGTTGGTTCGTTCCAAAAAGAAGCTCAGGAGCAAACTAGCATATATGCTCTGCAGTTGTTACAGCAGCTTTGGAGGAATCAAGGTCTGGGGCAACCCATGACAGAAGTGTTTTCTTTAGCACTCTCTTCTCCCTTGAAAAACTAGAGTCTCAAGTCCCTCATGAGCTAGCAATGCCTTAATTGGTAAAAGCTTTAGTCATTCTTGCTTTGAAAATATATGTGCAAGGAGTGGGATGGAAATATTCCTTTTAACAATGACCCTGAGATGATGTACATATATGGTCTCCTTGTCCTGGAAAGCTACCAGAAGTGCTGCTCCCCACTCCCTACTCAGAGTTTAGCTGGGGATTTCCATGAGGATAGAGAGTTTTCCTTTCAGTTTATCTGATGAGTCCACACAGTGAGTTCATGGTTTCCCCCCTTGACTCAGTCACACTCCTGTGAGCTTCCCAGCTGGAACCTGTGGCTTTCATTAACCCGTTCAGCACTCCTGGCTTTGGCGGGGTCAGCGTTACAGACATACACCTTAGCTAATTATCTGTCTGGACTTTCTGGCACTTGATTAAATTCCCAGAAATCCAGATGGTTAGCTTCACATAACTGAACATACCACAAACCATAGCCTCTCCCCTGGGCCATTTCCTATCCTTTACTGTTTACATTCCTACAATCCAATTCCCCATCTAATTTCTTCTCCTTGTTTCACTTGCAGCAAGGAGAGCTCCTCTGGAGTCAAGCAGCTGTACCTGAGGGTTGTCCAAGACATCACTGCCAGGTGCCTTTCTCCTCTCTTAACTAAAACCAGCCCTCAACAAACCATTTTCTGACACTATACACTTTGCTGTATTTGTTATTTTGGTGGATATTATTCAGAACCACATGCTGTATGTGCTAAGCATTACTTTTTAAAACAAAGGAGGTACAAGGTATTCAAATGCAAGAACAATATTCTTTTCTCTTAAAAAAATAGCTGGAAAAAATATTTCCAATTAAAGGACTTGTAGTAAAAGACAGATGCTGGGTAGGGAATGCAGGTGGCATTTTCTGAGTCGTTATTGAGCCAATTTACCAGCATGATGTGAAGGGGTCATAACACTCTATCATATAGAAGAGAGATAAAACCAAAGTCTCAATCACATCAATCACCTGGTACTCATTAGTTTTGATATATAAATGATACTATTTTTCTTAGGTGAACTCAGTAGATTTTTTTAAATGACTTTGCCTTTGCTTCTTGAAGAAACCAAACCTTAACCTAAGTTGTAATTCTGACTTTAAAGGAAATAAGGCAAGGTAATGCATGCAATACATGTTACCTGCAGCAGGCACCATTTCTGGCACAACTGTCACTGTGGGAAGGGCAGCAAGTGAGGGACTGTGGTCCTCCAGTGTTGTTGTTCTGTGGTCCTCCAGAGGAGATACTACATTATTGCAATTACTGCAAAGTGGCAAATGTTATTTTAATGACACCCAGCTTGGTAGTTTCCCAGGGGTGAAATCAATATTTCAATAGTTAAACTGAAGTTACCGTTTTATTACTGAGAACATACGTATGACCTTCTTGACAATACTCAGAATATTGAGTTGAGAAAGGGAAATCCCCCTGCTGCAAGGCTACAGACATCTAAATTCCTCTGCAAGATCAAAAAGACACATTCATTTAGGTAATGCTTGAAAACAGCAATGAAGTAGAGATAACTAAATGTTCATTATAGGCAGATTCCTTCTGCTGCTTCTAAGCATAAGCAGTAAAAGGTCACTCTGTCTCTAATTGAATTGCTCTGTATCGTGCTAATCTACCTAATGTCCTGTTTGCAAATACAGCATCATCTTAAGCACTTTGTGCCATGTGGGCTAAGACTCAAATTGTGCTCTTTATTGTACTTGTGCATTTCGTAATTAAGGAAGTGTGGTATCAGAAAACTTGTTCCACTTACAGCTTTGCAGCCTCATGAACGGACTATTTGCTACTGAATTCTTTCCTAACCCCTTATCTTTATCTGTCATCTTCAGAACTTTTAACTAGAAAATCCAATTCCATTTAAATCTGGGGAGACCCTCTTGCAGGGAGGGACTTTCCTCCTGAGAACAACGGTCCCGTTTTGTTTCCTGAGCTGAGAAGAGATGCTACATTGGCAAGGAGCTCTAAAAAGGTGCACAGGCTGCACTCTGGATACCTCTCTTCACTAAGATAACAGCAGGTTTGCCAGTTTTAGTGGAGGAGCAGGGCTTTTTGTTTGTTTGTTACAAAAGACAACTTTAGGAACTGTACCACTTCTGCAATTTTCTATCTGCTCTGCTCCTGCTTGTTCCTTCCAAGCTTTGAGCTTCACCTTACTGGAATTCCTTCACATTGAGATGCCAGGGATTGGAAAGTAGCCAGGGTTTTTGAAGTGAGGAAAACTTGTATGGCTATATCAGTACAGAACACAAAGAAATGAATCTAATTCCTTTCCAAAACTATAATTCTTAATGTGAAAAGCTGGAAAAACTTAACTGCATATTATTATATTTATTATAGAATATGTAATATTCTATTATTGAAAAAAAAAGCTTTCTAGATAATCCTTTGACAGAAATGGACAGAATTCAATAATATTAAGTAAAGCCCTCCACTCTCACTTTCTTTGCTTAGTTTGGACTGGGAATAACACATTAAACTGGCTTTGGGCTTAAAAATAATTAAGATCATGATCAAGTCTTAAGAATTTTTAAACTATTATTTCATGATTATTAAGAGACAAGAAAAATAATTTCATTCATATCTATACAGTTATTCTTGCTGGATGGAATATCTTATAAAATGATTGCCATGTAATGCTTAGCATACCAAATCTCACTGAAGAGTAACTTTTAGGAGTCCTTCATTTTTCACTAAGAATTCTGCAGTTTGCTTCAGAGATGAGGGGATACACTTGAGTTTACTGTGGACATTATTTCGTTAAAAGAGCTTATTTTGCTAGGAATGTGGTAGAGAAAATTCTAGATTAACTATGCAGACAAGAGACATGTTATCATCACTTAATAACCTCTTATTTCAAAAGCATGCAAGTCATGCTATTGTGCGCCTAAAAAAAAACAGAAAAAAAGAACAAAGGAAACAACCCAAAATACTCAACCATGAAAGCTGCAGCATACACATTTTGTGAATTTTTTCACAATGAGCAATTTTGTTAGAGAAAAAAAAAAAAAAAGAGAACAGGTTAAATGATGTCACATAGAACTGTGATATTCATAACTGTTTTACTTCTAATGGTTGAATTATAACTCGTTGGAAATCAGAGCAATGCAACTCTACAACTGTACATGTACTACAATACAACTGCACACAATACAACTGTAAGGTATAGGAGACCATAGATACTTCTGGCACTCCTAGCTCTCTGACTTTGGTAGCATTTCCCGAGGCTTAGTTTGGAACCAAAATCTTGCTCTACCGTTTAAATTATGGACAAATGACAACAAAATTCACCTAAGCATCCAGACAAGCTTCTCTAACTTTTGAAAGATGAAAGCTATTTAAAAGAATATCGATAATATAATGTTAAATAGTTAAATAAGAATTTAGAAATCCAAGTATGGATCTGGTAGATGAAGAATATTTGTAAGTGTGTTTGAAGGGCTACACTTGTTCAGCCAGTGCCAGTGCAAATTGGGTGTCATAAGGGGCTGCCCACATTCAAAAAATAAAGTTTTCTTTCACTAGAATTCACAGCCACAATGTGCTTAAAATGCAAGATTTTGAATGTAATTTGTGTTGTCATCTAAAAGCCACTGCCTTGTTGACAACAATCCAGAGTGTTTTAATAATACATATATATATATATATAATGTAGAACTCTCATACTAAATACCAGTGGATCTCTAAGTAGAAAGGAAGATAAATACGTCATTAGACATTATGGGAGCAGGACCACATGTGAAATCCAAACTAAATTATCCTACAATCATATGATGATCATAATCATTAGGAAAGACCTCCATGGTTATATCTGTCTGGTTCTATATCTGGTTCTATATCTACAACTATATCTGGTTATTAGGTAACAACAGATCAGAGGCTGTTTATCTAAAATATTTTTTCAACTGAAATTGCCTTCTTTTTCCATGAGATGGCTAGACTGTTAAACAAAATTGTGCAAGGGGAAAACACTTCAAAACAAAATTTTGACCATCTTCCAAATAACAAGATAAAATTTATTTGGAGTGCAATTATCTGATTTACTGAAGATTTATATATTTTTATTGTTTTATTTCCTTTTTCTTGGCAAGTTAGTAGAGGTACCTAATGCTAGGTAATAAAGTCAATATGCAAATAAACATAAGAGACATGCAATTTAAAATAAATAATTATCATAATAAGAATATTCTATTAGGATTTGCATTTCAGAGGAAGGTTGAAAAACTTCGCCTTAAGAATCACTCACTTCCCTGTAAATGTTATAAATATCAGGTAGAACTGCTAGACATTTCAGAATTCGGGTACTTGCAAATAGGAAATTCATGTGCAAAGCTGTGCCAAGACTGGGGAAGGTTTCCTCTGCAGTGGGACGTGGTTTTGAACAGGCAGCTGCTCGTGCCCCACGTGCAGGTTCATGGGACTGGGACAAGTAGCTGGCTGGAAGGAGCTAAGCGGGTGCCCTGACTGAGGACAAAGACTGGAGAAAGGAAGGTTTGGCAGCTGCGCATTAGCACCTGACTTTGCTGCTGCAATTCATCCTTGCAAAGAATTCACCAGGCTACTATAATCTCTAAGCTACTTGTGGGAAGGAAAGATCTGAAAAGTCTTTCTCTCTCTCCCCTCCAGCTGAAGCCCCAGTACATTATAACCACTGCAGAGAGAAGAATGTTTTAATTGAAATACAATGCTCACAACTTGAACAATCTGTTCTTTGCTGCTCTAAATCATCTCTCCTGGACCATTGTGTATAAGCTATTTTTGATGTTTCAGTGTAAATGCTTTTGCAGCACTATATTATTCTGTCAACTTCTCTCTGGACAAAACAGATGAAAGCAATTGCAAGTATTTTTTTCATGTATACCAGTACTAGCTATCTATTTCATTACACCTCATTACACCAAGCAGTGCCAATTCTCAGACCTTTTAAGTGTTAATAACCGTGTGTGTGGGGAAACAGATCTAACACAAAGTGCAAGTGACCTCACTTGCTCAGGGTGTGCAAACTGCTGGCTATAATGGGGCAACCTGTGTGTAAGAGAAAAGGACTCTTTCCCAGAAGATGTAGCCCTCATAGTAGAATTTCTTGCTTTACCTTTCATTTCTCACTTACCATCTTGTGCAGTTGTGCTATAACATTTGCAATACAGCATTTGGGTTGGGAAGCAGTCTGGCTTAAAATGCTATGTGATGTCCCTTAGGTTGCTCTCTGTGGCTTGTGAAACGCAGCCCTTCCCGCTGCCAGACCAGGGCTCAGGGACCCACCAGATGCTCCATGGTCTGCCTCAGCACCGAGCAGTGTCTTTGGGCTTCCTCACCTTGGTCAAGAGCATGCGATGGGAAAAGGCAGCTCGGCCGGCACCCTGGGCACCCGGAGCGCGCCTGGCAGCAGGGAAGCTCCGGCTGCAGCTCCGCGGCTCTGCCCGCAGCGCGCCCGAGGTGCAGGGTGAGGCCGGCCCCCAGCGAGCCTCATCGGGGAGGAGGATGCAGGCATCAATCACGCTGTGTTTTTACAGTATGCATTTCCAAACTGCAAACAAACAGACACGTTGCAGAAGTAACACTCGCCTAAACCAATGTGGAAATCCACGTAACGCTAAATCATGCTATGGAAATTTCTCCAACTGGAGCTACAAATGGTCCCAGAACTACCCATTTCAGAAGTTTCATCCCCCCATAACAATCTCATGCACGGCAAACAGACCCACTCATTCTTCTTCCTTGCACATAGGCCCAACCTCAAAGACAAAAACCAGGAGGCAATAACAAGACAACACATGAAAAAATTATGAACTAGCCTGTTAATTTCTTCTCTTTCCATCGGATAAAAGGTCTTTAAATATTGGGGAAGGCCCCATCGGGTATGGCAAGGAGCGGTGAAATGCAATATACACCTCATAATAAATGCTCCCTCAATTAAGGGTCTAGAATATAATGCAGTATTTCCTAACCCTGACTGGTAGCACTGTGATTTTTTTAAAATATTCTTCCTCTCTGGCCCAGTTTATTTTGTGGTCCTTGCCTATATTGTATTCTCTTCTGCAGTTAACTTTTGAAAGATAATTATAGATTGTGTCTAGAGAATAAAGCTAAACTTCAACCTCTAAAATAAAACAAGCGCCAGTTATAAAGTTTAAGCGTTCATTAGAAATGAATAACAAATGAATGGTCAGTTTTGTTTGCCAGCCTGCCAGCACCAAGCTACCAGGATGGCCGCTATGAGGGAACAACCTGCTGATTGTCCAGCTGCACCCAAATACCTGTGGGTGCACAACAGTTCTCCAGGTGCAGACCTGATACATAATGTAAGTAAGTGCCAACTTGCCACACTACTGCTGCTTTTCTGCAATGCTTGCAATTCCATAGCTAAAAGCTTAAAGTCAAGCTTCATTAGATATTGAGATTATTACAAATAAAATAGAATAAATCATAAGGATGTTCAAATTTGCTTCCTGCAAAACATGGAAGTGAGAAAATTCAGGATAGGGTTAAAACTGAACTTAGAAGAAAAGCAAGCAAGATCAGGTGCAGTTCGTGTGTGTCCAAACAGACTCCTACTACTTTGTATCAATCCAAAGAGAAAATAACAGAAGAGGCTGAAAAAAATTCAAAGCCGTGGTGAGAAACATTTCATCTGCAACCACAGGCTTTAAGCCTTGGTCTCCATGAAAAGTTACCCAAAGTTTTAACAGTTATAAGATCTCTGTATAAATGTACTTTCACATAACTGGACTTTATACTATATGTAGCATCAGTGATTAAATCCTGTCAAGAGTTAAATTTTCTCTTCACTGTGTGATGTAAGAAGAAATCACAGTGAGGACATTCAGAAAAAATATTAGATTGAACGACTAGAATCACATTTAAGGATTATCTGCAGCAATGCAACTCACTGTTCTCCACAAGAATGTTGTTTGCTTGATGAGAACAGCTTTTGCAGAAAGCAGGTAGTATGATGAATTCAGGGATTTTCAAGAAAATTGGTTAACAAACAACTGATGAGTAGCTGAAAAGAATAGTCTGGCAAAAGGAAAAAAAAAAAAATTAAAACAAGGCCAAACAATAGGTTCCCAAACATAAGCCTTGATCCAAAATAAAAGAATGACATCTGAAAGAAAAGAACCAGGTAAATCCCCCGAGGGAGAAAGTTATAGGGACTATTACTCATTAACTCTCTTGGCATAAAAAATAACCTCTGCTGATCAAAACGCTGCTTGCTTGTGCAACTTCATGTGGGTAAAAAAAATCACAGTTTGTATCCTAGTTTTGTAAAGTGAGAATAAAAGAATTTATTTTTATTTTCTAGTAGTTTTCCACCCACTCTATATTCTGAAGAAAGGCCCACATCCTGCTCGGCCGGCACAGGACTTGACACCTCAGGCAGGGCTGAGGTAGCTCAGCAGGGTTACAGAGCAGACAATACCGCATAAACAGGATGGGACAAACAAGAAGATCATTCTGATGGCAATGTTCCTCCCTAAATATCATGACCCCTCCCGGCAGAGTCAGAGGTAATAAACAGTTCTATTCTTGAGCCAACATCATTCTTTAGGGACAATCCAGAGAGAAACATAATATTAGGTCAGAACAAACATATCTGATGTCTAAAGGACCTTCAGAAGGCCAACAGGTCTACCTAAGGCATCCCTGCACAACCTTAAAGGCACTTACTCATTTCTATTTCTAGATGAGCAGAGAGGGCTGTTCCATTTTCACGTTTAAAAGTAGGGAATCTAAGCTATGCCTGTGTCAGGTGGACTGACCCCCCACTCCGTATGCATGTGCATGTGTTTCTTCTTTGTGGGTTCTGAAGGTCATACATAACATGCATTTTAGCGTCCTTCTTGTTGAAGGACTGTATTGAAGGAATGATGTTGAGAATATTATTCTGGGACCCAATGCTACAGTAAAACAAATCAAAAACTCAAAATTCTGCATTCCTCCTCCCCTTCCACTCCCCTCCCCCCAAAAAAAGGAAGAAAAGGGACAAGAATAAAATTACCGCATAAGATCCTGTCTACACTCTTGTATGTAGCAGCATATCTTGAGAAGACAAGAGGTGTTCTCTGAAATTCCTTTTTTTACTGTTTTCCAATACAGTCACCAGTAACAAGTACTTATATCAAGTGAAACAACTGTTACAATAAACTGGGAGCTCTTAAACACAAAAACATTTTTATGAGTGGACACTAAAGCTGCTTTTCCCTTCTAGTTGAACTGCCTTGGGTCTTGTATACATGTCTAGCATGCAACAACTAGCAGTTTCACAAAATCTAGGATAATCAAGTTCCTCTGTGACTTTCCTTTTTGCCCCAAAGAAGAGAGGGCACTGGGGTAGAAGAAGGCCTTAAAGACCATGTCAGCCTGCTGATAGATGTCTGTGGCACACAGCACCAGAGAAATGATTTCTCTGGACCAATATATACAGAGCCTCTTTCCTACCACAGCCCCACAAAGTGCCTCTAAAATTTAACTTAATTTCTCCCTCCGCTTTCTCAGTTGTGCAGCACATGTACCTCCCTCCACATGGGGATGCAGTACCATGAGAGTGGTATTTTTTTAATTCAGTCCTTCATTTAATACTTTTTTTTTGATTGCTGCTGCTGCTGCTATAGGTAACCTATCAGCTGGAAGAGGCCTCTCTCAGAGGCCTAAGGTAGACCTGAACTCCTGTGCTTGACAAGTCCTTTTGCATCAGCTGACGTATAGTCTCCTAGCCTAAAACACACAGAATCAGACCTTTTACACTGCTGCTTAAAATACTACATAACTGAGAGAAAACAGTTTGTAATTGTGGCTCAGCTGACGCACATGAACTTGCTCGTCCAAAGGACTGACACCTATGCCTGACTCCTGAGCGGTTAGTGTGAAACCTCAAAGTGCTGCCTAACTACTTCAGACGAAGCTTTAATGGGTTTCCTCTTGTGCAGGAGCTGTGCAACCAGAGGGAAGTGACAGCATTCAGTACAAGGGGCTGCGTGGGAGCTCTAGGTACCGCTCTCTTCTTGGCTCTTGTGCTTACCCTGAACACATAATTTTTGCTAATTCTATGTGCCAGTGTTCCTTATGAAGACAAATCCAACCCATCATACAACTTAGACTAAAATAGATAAGCACATGTGTTGATGTGATTTAACACCAGAAGCATTTCTTCTCACAAAGGAAAGGTTCATTTTATGTTTTTCAGAATGTTTACATCTCTGAAGACTACAATAGCAAGTTCTATGTGGGAGTTGGCCCAGCATATACTGCAAGAAAACCTCAGGGAAGGACTTGAAGGGTAAGCCACAAACTGCAATTTCTGAAACTCCTACATTGTGTTAATTTCTACCTGACCTTTTCTTGTTGTACTCTTGACTTTAGATCTGTGGATTAAACATAGTGCAGAGCTCATTCCTAAGTTCCCATCTCTCTTCTTCTGAGTCTCAGGACTCTTTAAGATGTTTGAAGATTATCCAAAACTGTATCATCCTGGACAAATCTTTTTTGGAGAAATGCACATAACTTCTCTTTTAAGTTTCCAAAGGTGATAAATTTTAAAAGGATATGGCTACTGTGATACTTCACCAAAGAATGCATGTGTGAGACTTATGAATCTACTGGCTATACATTTTTTTCTTGCTAGTTAACACCTTATATTGAGAGACAAAGCAGTTCAGAACTTCTACCACATTATGCTGTGAGTGGAAAGCTTTGGTAAATCAGCGAGAACTGAGACCTCCAAGATGAGATTCACCTGCACAGTGAATTTTCTAAGGACTGTCATCATATTCCAGTTATGGACCAAGCCCTTATAATCATCTCATGTCAATCAATCCTTGGATGGAAGTTTTCATAGAAAAGCAAGAAGATAACTTTGTTTCAGCAGAAAGTACTTTTTCGGCTCCTATCACATGAACTGAGGAGATCAGTTCAAACCAAGTATAGCTTGAGGTCCATCTTGTTTTTTTGTCATTGCCAAAGGCATGCACAGACCAAAGATGATTGAGGCCAAACCCTATCTTCTTCAGCAAAGTAGCTTTGTTTCATCTGGTGTCTACATCACCTTGAGCAAATATTCTCCATTTCCATATCTCCAGAACACCTAATCACTTGGGCTACTAATCTCCCACAAAAACAACAGCAACTAAGAATCTAGGTAAACTCCATGGTGACAATATTTCTCCAAAATAACTACCAACAGTTGAAGAGAAAATGGCCACAAGTTGTGCCAGGAGAAGTTCAGGCTGGATATTAGGAAAAATTTCTACACAGAGTGGTAAAGCATTGGAACAGGCTGCCTAGGGAAGTGGTGGAGTCACTGTTCCTGGCAGCATTCAACAAACGTATAGATGATGCACTCAGGGACAAGGTTTAGCAGGCATAGTAGTGTTGGGTTTATGGTTGGGCTTGATCTTGAAGCTCTCTTCCTACCATAATGATTCTATGATTTTATGACAGAAGCAAGGTAAAAGAAGACAAAATACCAATAGTGATGTTAATGTTGCTGTTTAGTGTCTGGGTATCTCAAAGGAGACTTTAAAAGCATTGCAAATGAGTTGGTGATTTGGGGGAAATTAGTTTATGAGGCAGATTCATATCCATGAATTTTAACAGAGAAAGCAGAAAACATGAGTAGATATCTAAAGACAGGACATGGTATTGTACAAATGAAAAGTCAGACAAAGTTTGGTCATGCAGTTGAAACGCTTGTGTGTTTGTTATACAAAGCTCCTATATGTATTTCTGTGACACAGTTCAGTGTGAGATATTGTTCATCCTCTTGCACATCCAAGATGAGAGAGGAATCTCTGAAGAAAGATGAAGTGACAAGTTTTAGGTTTCCTGTTTGAATATTCGCTATTCCTTACATTGTTCTTCTGGAAATTATAGAAGAGCTGTTCTTCAGAGAGTAGGGAGCACTTCTTTTGCATGACATATTTTCCATACATAAATATGAAGGCAAGCAATTGGAGATTTAGAAGCAACAAGTGCAAATGAGTTAATTAAATTAAAATGCCACTAGGAATTGCAGTGATGACTCTATCCCAGTTAGAAGTAGGTCATCACGATTACTCTCATCATAGGACTAAACTTGATGAGGGTCCTGGATTGCTGCCCTCATGGAAACAGGGACTGGAACTTTATTCCAAGCCCCTTGATGAGATACAGATGTAATCATGTTAATGTCAGAGGCAGCATTTACTGTAATCGATACAATATTTAGCAAAATAACATACAGTGGAACAGTAGAATAATGCTTGTTCTTTTTTTCTTTTTCTTTTTCCTTTTCTTCTTTTTTTTTTTTGTGTTAAAAAAAAAATAAAGGTGAAAACTGCCAAAATTTGCAGGCCATACTAAGACTGATATGATTTTGAGATGACCTTTGATCTGTATCTACAAATATGTGCTGGAAACCATTGGTGCTGGAAGTGGTTTGATCAAGCTGATGATAAAGCTTCCTTTGCAGGTCCCCGTCCTTCTCACACAGCTTAGCTGTTTCCACAGTGGTGCAGTTTCTTCCCAAGACACAGATGACTCTGTCTCTTTTTTGAATGAGTGGCTTCTGGAAGTGCTGAGAACTGAGCTTTCTTGGAATTGAAAAGAAGAACAATGAAATTCAGAAATACTTGTAAATTCTCTTCTTCATTAAGAAAACTCCTTAAAACCTTAAACCTAGTGGCAAATAACACCAAATCCCAGAGATTTCTGCCAGCTTTTTCTCAGGGAGTTACTAGCTTTTCCCTGGAGAAAGAACATGAATTTTTTTTCCTCAGAGAAATGCCATGCTGAATTTTCATGCAGTTTCTGATTTGAATAATGGACAAATAATTAAATGACATATAAATTTTTACTGAAACCCCTTCTTTGGCCCCTATCTGTATGTTTTTGCTCAAACATGGGCCAGATTTCTATTTTTTTTCAGGATTTGAGGGTAAGACAGAGCCAAATTCCATGGCTACTATATTGAAAATCATATTGCTGCTTGTACGAGCTTCTTGTCAGTAGCTTTAGATGCAGACTCACGCAAGTATTTATTAAAAAATAAAAGGCATGAAAACATGAAGTCATACCAGCCTCAATTCAAAAGATTAATTCATCCTTCAAGAATAATGATCTATGTGTGCAGTTAAACATCCCAACATGTTCCTCATAATGCCAATACCTGGACCATTTGTTGATCTTCATAATTTGATGATGACTCCATGACAAGATTATATCTGTATATGGATTATAAAACATTTTATGACAATGAACAGATGTATGAGAAACCTTACTAGAATCAGCTCTACGCATGCTCTTTGGTACCCCCTCCGTAACAAATGAGTTTTGAAATGTGTCAGTGAGTTAATTTTTAATCCATCTAACACAATGGCTGTAAATTACATAATTCAAGTGTTTTAATCAAGCTGTCAAGAAAGATGCCTTGACAATGTCAACTACTGTATCAATATAGTTACCTATGTCAACCAGACCCCTAATTATGTCAGACAAGACTGTTTTTTTTCTCTTTGACAAGACCTGAATTCCATGAAAATATGATTAAGTAAGAAACTTTTATAATTTGTAATAAATTAATTCAAAACTAAGTCATCTAAAATGAAATATGAAAATGTTCTGTTGTGGTAAGATCAAAAATGAATTTAAATAATTATTTTCATTTTTTTCTAAATACAAGCTTATTGAAATAAGCATATTTCACCCATTTTTGCTTCATATTTCATTTAAATATATTATAGTGCAAATTTTTAGTGGAAGATTGTTCACACTGAACTTTTTTGACCAGCTGTGAAACTCAAGTTGGCCAAAGTGATAACAGCTGTGGGGATGGTCGTGAGCCGGACAGAACAAGTTTGTGATCGGTTGTTCATGCAGCTTTTGTGGTCTCTCTGTGAGGCTGGTAACAAACCACAGATTACAAACTTCACAAAACACACATGTATAATGGACTAGATGATCTCCAGGGGTCCTTCCCAACCTCAACTATTCTGTGATAACCAGCCTCTTTTATTCTATTGGTACTATTTAATGTACAACATACCAGATGCAACAGGCATTAAACAGTCCCTACCAGACATTTGTGTATTTACCTAAAATCTCTACACTTTGCCAGGGGAGGGGAAAGAGGTAAAATTTTACAGTGAAGTAGGAAAGTACTTCCAGAATTAAGAAGAGGAGAGATGAGAGAGTACATAGGGAATCTGAGTTCTCAAAACAAAGGTCAATGGCCCTTGAAGTTAATACATGCCATAGACAGAAAAAGCTTGGCAAAGGGAACTCAATTAGATTTACTTCAGAAACTGAAGATAATATTCAGCATCTGTTGCACCTCAGTCCTCAAGCTTCACACTTGGAGGTTCTTGGATAGCAGAGGCTGGGTGCAAGAAAACTATAGAGGTACCAGCTAAGTGAGGGTTCTGTGACCTTTCCTGTATTTATTTCTAGTCTTGTAATGAAAAGTTTGACCTCTAATCTGATTTAATAAGAATACTCTATTTTGCCCCTGAAGCTTGTACAGGGATATGGGAGCAAAGTAGATGGGGGATGCAGCAAGAAAGTTACTGAAGTAGGGTACTGAGTCCAGCAACATGAACAGGGCCCCTAAATACCCTGCAAACATTTACACAACTATTCAGACATATTTTAGGGACTGATGTGCTGGGAGTATTTACTGCCACACCACAATTGTCTGGGCGCTGATTTAGGAGGAGGGTTTCCATCCTTCAGGCATGAACCAAACTTGCAAATAGCAAGGGAAAGACCACACAGTCCCAAGCAAACAAGTGGGACATCAGGCATGGATATAAAGCTGTCAGCACAACTCTGACACATTAGCATACAAAAGCATTCTTGCTCTTCTCATCATCTTTCAGTCATTTCTCAGCACACAGCATGGCCCAGTTTTCTTCTGAGTTCAAAAGAAAAATTGTTTTTCTCTCAGCCAGTAAAACTAAAATACTGGTGTATAATCAAGCAAAAGGCTGATTCCTCCTAGATAAAGGGATTTCAGTCCTTACTAACAAGCAACTTGCCTTCATTATCTTTTGGCCTGTTAGGAAACACGCAAACAGATAATTACAAGTGCTGAGGTCCCAAAAAAAGTATTCATGGTTGTATATGTCTAGGAACAACTAGCAGTCCCTGGCCCTCGAGTTGGAGGTGGTAACCCTGTTTTGCTGGGCTCTTACTTCCAGATCAATCACCTTCACAGGGCCGTGAAAAGCTCCGAACAGGTATAAACTTGTTTTGCCCATTCAGGTTTATTAAGAAACAGTGAAAGAATAACTTGCCCTTGCAAGCTTGATGCCAGGTCTGTTGTGCAGCCAGCATGAGGCATTACCACTGTGCTGCACACCTTGGACAGTTGCATGGAAATGTGCTTTCCTTTCTCACACTTTATCTGCATGAGATTTGTGTTGCCAGGTGATTTGGTAGGGCACAGACCTGGCAATAGCAACTACAGAGTCACAGCCTCCACTAGGTTTCAATCAAAACAACCCTGTGAGGTATTTTTGAGTTAATAAAGTTCACCATAGGCCAGTGGCTGCAAGGCTGTCTAATCCTGTGGTTAAGAGCCTTGAGGGGCTATCAGCACTGGCCTAACTTTGAGGGAGATTTGCATGGCTACACAATATCACAGTGTATTTGGAGATGACTGACAGGGATAGCAGCAGATATGCTGTCTTTCACTAAGTGAACATTTCTGCTAGTCTTCTTGCTCTCATGTTGAAACCATAATGCAAATCCTTTTTTCCTGATACTTGTACATCTTAATTTATATTGACTAAAATGCAGTTTTAGCAGATATTTTG